CTTGTGCCATCCACACTGTTCCTTCAGCGCAGTTATGTTAACAGATTAGTTACAGATAGATAATACAAGTTACCGAATGTTTTAGTGGTTTAGTTCATTATTGTAGCTTGTAGATGCTTCTCTTGTCTGCTTTCTTTTAGTAAATATTCTTTGGGGAAATTCAGGAAGGTATTGTCATGTGTGTCTGTGTTTTGTTTACTTGCCTCAAAACTTGACTTTCTTTTTTTTCCAAGGTACTTAGCTATGTGGACCTAGAAAGGGCAAAAAGCAATAATAAAATAAAATTCTGCAGTACCAGCCCGAGTCATGTGCTTTGCCATCCTAAATTTATTTTAACACTGTTGGCTATAACCAGTGTTTATGCATTACTTATCTGGAAGAAATACAGAACCCTTTGTAGATTAAAGAGTCAGAGTGATGATAGCTAACACTACATATGTGAATATGTAATGGTAGTGTTAGTTGCTCTGTCGTGTCCAGCTCTTTGCAACTCTATTGTCTGTAGGCCACCAGGCTCCTCTGTCCATGGAATTCTCCAGGCAAGAATACTGANATAGCTAACACTACATATGTGAATATGTAATGGTAGTGTTAGTTGCTCTGTCGTGTCCAGCTCTTTGCAACTCTATTGTCTGTAGGCCACCAGGCTCCTCTGTCCATGGAATTCTCCAGGCAAGAATACTGATCCCTTCTCCAGAGGATCTTTCCAACCCAGGGATCGAACCCAGGCCTCCTGCATTGCAGGCGGATTCCTTACCGCATTGCAGGCAGATTCCTTACCGTCTGAGCGATGAGGGAAGCCCGTGTGTGTGGGGGGGGTGGGGGGCGCGGGGGGTGTCTTTTTTCCCTCCCCCCAATATGTGTCACTTAATTTTTAAAGATTTCCAGGCTCTGTTCCTCTCCCAGAGTTGGACCTTTTTCCCTTTGTTTCCATTTTCCCTGCTCTGCTCAGTTTTGATTTCACTTCTAACAGTTTTTCCTCAATATGGGGTCTGTCTTGGAATAGAGATTTGAGTGGTTGCTTCTGAAAATTCATGTGTCCCAAGCTGTTCTAGCCTCTTTTGGAACTCTCAAAGACCCTTTGCACTCATATGCTCTTGAACGAGGCAAAACCGCTTCAGTTTTTACCTCCTGTATTCAAATTGGCCTGCCTGGTTCCAGTGAATGTCTTCTGGATTATCTGTTGATTCTCTTCTTACTCCCACGTGGACTCTGGTACCGTATGTGCCTTGTGTGTGGTTTATCAGTACCTGTTCCTGTTTCAGCAATCAAGAGGATGAGAATTTTTCATTTAACTGTGTTGAAATTCTTTTCTTTTTTTTTTGCAATTTACTTGATGTAGATAGGTAATGGGCAGATAGATAGATACTGAGCTTTTTCTTTTAATATAGAAACTAAGGGATATTAAAAAAAGCTATGCTATCTCTGTCACTCTCCACCTGGAACTTGACCTCACCATTATATTTCTCAATATCTGAGTAGTTAAGCTTTTTTTGTTTATATTCAAACTTATAGTTTTAATTTTGTTTTAGTCTGATAATATAGTACATAAAACCCCTACCATTTGGAATTTTTAAGTAGTGTCTCTGCATAATGTACACTGTCTGCTTTTCTAAATGCACTATGGATTTAGGAAAAGATTTGGTTTCCTATTTTATATGCTCCTGATTCTGTCTGCTGTTTTCTAACAGATCTTTTTGAAAGTTCAATCTGTAGTTGCTGTCTCTACTTCCTCACATTACTTGTTCACCTTGTGTTCTCTGTTTTAATGAACATTCCCACCCCTTCATTGAAAGTGCATTTGTTTGTTACCCATGTGCGAGGTTGATGTCAAATTTAATATTAATAGTCATATTCCCATCTTCATCTTACTCAACCAACAAAACCAACCAGGACCTTCTTCTTGCAACATTCCTTTTCCTTGACATCCTTGACACAATTCTCTCCTGATTTCCTCCTACTTAATTGTTCAGTTTTTTGTTAGTTCTAATAATGGGATGGCCCTAAACTTCCTTTTAGTTTTAAATGACTCATATCCAATCTTTTCCAGGCCGTCTCACCTTTCACTCCAAATTACGTGCCCATCAACTTGTTTTGTCTGCAAGGCTGTTACCCTTGTACAAGCTACTGTCATAGCTAGAAAAAATCCAATGTCCTTCTTGTTAATGTCCCTGCTTTTCTTTATCATCTCTTCCTCACCCAGCAGCCAGAATATTTTTCTTGAGAGTAAGATCATGTTATTATATGACTCAGCTATTATAAAACATTCCAAACTCTTTATCATGCCAAGGACCTAGGTGAATTAACCCCAACTTGTCACACTGTACTCATTTTTAAGTATTCTTTCTGTAGCTCACAATACTGCAGCTGTTGTGACTTCAGTTTCTTAAACATCTCTAGCCTAAGCATGCTGTTCTCTAAGCCTCGAAATCTCTTCTAACAGATCTTTGTGTGGCTTTACCATTCTTATTTTTGTATGTCAGCTTACATATGGCTTCAGTAAGGCTGGCTGTAACTGCCTGATCTAAACTAGCTGTGTAGCCTTCGACTTCATCATATCACCTTATTTTTCTTTGGAACATTTGTCATTATTGAAAATTATGATATCCACTTATGAGTCTACCTGGTTATTTTCTGTCTCGTGCTATTGGGATGCAAATTCCAAGAGACAAGGGACTTTGTCTTATTTACAAGGTTGTCACCAGCTCCTAGAACAGAGCTTGTTTAAGCAGTATTTCTTTGAACTTTTCTTCATGATTTGAGCGACTGAATAAATTAGTTTTTTTGTCTGCTTGTTCAGATCAGTTATGAAAGAGACATACATATTAAAATTTTACTATTTAATTATGTTACCTAATTCTCCTTGAAGTCCGACCTTCTGTTTTCACTTATTTGGTCTGTATTTTGGTGCATATAGGTTTATTATTTTTATGAATTATTTGTTCCTTGTATGTTTTATTAGACCAGGTTTTGATTTTGAATTTCACTTTGCTATTTATATTATCCTTCATGGCTTTGTTGTTGTTGTTTTTAAGAGCCAATTTTTTTTTTTTTTTTACTCACAGTCCTTTATATTTTGGCTATAGATGTGTCACTGTTGTGGATATGCTGTCTATAGAAAACATAAAGTAAATTATGCCTTTTAACATGATATGGAAATCTCTTTCTTTTGATGAGGATTCAGTCTGTTCACGTTTAATGCAACTGCTTCTATACTTCATCTTATTCTTTAATTTTTAAACTTATGTATTATTTATTTTGTTTCTTTTTTCTCTATATTTGCTAATTTATTCAAGTCTTTATTCAAGCTCTTTTTCTTTATTATTTAGATATTTCTCAATACTGTCTAATTTTACCTTCCTAATCCAATTTATTTTAAACCAATTTCATTTATTAGGATTTCAAAATAATTATCCTTTAGAAGAGTATCCAGTTAGTTCTCAATTGCTGTATTCTGAGTCATCTTCTATTATTCGACTGTTATTGTTGACAGTATTATTTGATAAGCTCTGTTGTAAGATACTCTCATGGACAGTACCTAGGGAGATGATTCATCTGTATCATTTCCATTTTAAAAGATGTTTGTTCTTAAATTTTTTTTAATGTTTTCACCTAGAACCAATCTCTTACAGCAATTATCTTTCCTCAGTCTCTGTGTAAATGCTTTGTAATTCTTCAAATGCTTAGAAGCATTTTGGAAATGAATGCTATTATATTTAAGCTTTCATGTATATACAAAAATTTAACTATCTTCTCGATTGGCTATAATTCTTTGTTTTATACAAGAAACAATATTTCTTATTTTAGAATGCCATTTCAGTTCCTTGCCCTGAAAACTGGTACAATTGTGAAATTCATTTCCTTTGTTTTCCTTCACTCGTGGATTATATCCCCGTCTGCATTTTGTTTAATGTCTGAAAATGGTTTCTCTGTATATTTTGTATAGTTTTTAGTTTTTTAAGATGAGAGAAATCTCATCTTTGTTAGTCTATTTTCACTGGAAGTGGAAATTGTACTACATATTTTTGAAAGATTTTCATAAAAGATTATTAAAGGAGAAGGAGATTTCAAGAACTTAATTGTTCACCTCCAGCTACCTGGAAAAATTCACTAATGTTGACCAGCTCCTTTATACATGATATAAAAGCATGATACTTGTTATATTATGCCTACTATATACCAGTTATTATGGTAATAATTTTATTTCTATTAATTAAGTTAGTCTTTCCTCTAACACAGTGAAATAGATGCTTTTATTATTACTGTTCACACATGGGACAAAAATAGATTAAATAGATTTCCAGAATATTTATACCTAATAAGTGAAAAATTGGATTTTCATATCAAGTATTCTCTATTCAGATGCTGCATTGTTGACTAGTACAATGTATAATAATTCTTCTTCAAAAAATGTTTTACAATATGATCTCTATAATGTTAACAAAAGTGGAGAACAACTTTAGATTATTGACTTCTCTTCTGAAATCATTAACATGAAAATATAAACTTTTGATATATTTTATTCTTTCAGGGGTTTATAACAAAATAATTGCAGCTTCATTAGACAATACTACACAAGAAAAACCAGTTCCCTCTGTTTCCTTCATAGAGTTGAAATTAAGTTTTCTATCTCATAAGCAATTATCAATTGTGTTGATAAAAAAATATCATCATTATTAGGTGTGCATTTGCATGTTTTAGTTAGGCATATTTCATAGAATTTCAAGTGACAGTCTCAGCATATATTAATGAAGTAATTTTATAATAGTTTTCTTAAAGCATTTAGTGTTATAGCCAGTATAAAGGTTGTCTTCAGTTGTTGGATATATGAGGTGTTGTCAATGAAATTTTGGTTCTAGCACATATGATTTATAATATGGTAACCCAAATCTCTTGATGATTTAAAAATATTGTATTTACAAATGCCATGAAATGTCACAACTTTGAAGAAGAACAAAGATTCAGTAAGTTTCAAACTTCCTTTTATTTTGATTTTTCAGATTGCATTCTCACAACACAACACAATCATGGATCTTGTGCAGTTTTTTGTCACCTTTTTCAGGTAATTTGCTTTTATTGACTTTGGATGTGTTAAATCTGTATTCTGATGTCCTGTCAATCTGTTAGGTAATATCAGTTCTTTAACCTTGAATATGATACAGTGTGTCTTGTATAGTTTTATGTACTTTAATATATACCACAGAGCCAAAGAAACATATTTGACGTGTACTATTGCAGGATTATTTTGCTGTACTACTATTTAATAGCTAGTTAATTTAGTGGAAAGAAGATGATAACCCTGTATTCTACTGTCATATAAGTGATTAAAGCATTTTCATCATATTGATTAGGTACGTTTCCTAGCATTAAAATCAATTTCTTGGATTTCTTAGGTTATTATTGTATGTATTTAGCAATGTGATAAAATCAATAGGGAATGTGAAAAATGATGTATTTTTTGCCCTCAAAGAGCATGTAATCTGGAAGTACTAAATTTGACCTAGAATATACCATAATTTCCTAGAACTTTAGTTATTTGAGATGTTAACAGTAGGTTCACTAAAAAGGGTTCCATAATTAAGTATGTTTGGAAAATACTATGTATACTAAAATTAAATAGGTCTCTTTTGGTTTGTTTTTAACTGACTTCCTCAGCTTTTTTTTTCTCACAGTTTTTAATGTGTTAACTTGCAGTGTATTGTTCTAAAAGAGACGATAGAGTTTGTAGCATTTCTCAAAACCTAGAAGTTCTTTTCATAGAACTTTTATATTCATTTCCATGGGATGTAAATAAACAATGGGTCAGGAGAAGCTGAGTTTCAGTGATAGAATATCTGAGACATGGCATCTAGTTGGGTGGGATGGGGTGGGTGGGGAGGGAAGTATCGAGGGAGGGGACATATGTATACATGTAGATGATTCACTGCATTGTACAGCAGGGACTAACGTAACATTATAAAGCAGTTATACTCCAATAAAATAAAAAGACCTAGTTGGTCAATACAGTACTTAAAAACAAAAAAAAGAAAGAATATTATCTTTATTAACATGATTTTTATGATGTGTACAGCTTATACTGGTCCACAGGGTGCCTTTGTGTGAATTAGACAATTGTGTCTCCTCCTTCTGGTAGACAAAGCCCCACATCACACCACAAAGATGCAGATGATTTTGACCTTCACTCATCTAATTGTCTGGGCTGCTTTGTACAGTAAAGAGCCTGTTAAACTCAGTCCTTGACACACATGATATGCCCCGTACTTCCTCTGCACCTAAGCAAGTGATAAGTACTGGTTATCTTATCAAGATACCATACAATACTTGAATTCCTAATCCCTTATCTATAAAGTGTTGGTTAGTAAATAATTTCAAGATTTGTGGGCTATAAGGTGTCTGTGGTGCTAAAGCAGCCTGAGTCAGTTTGGAAACAAATGGAAGTGACTATGTTCCAATAAACCTTTACTAGAGTATAAATAGCTGGTAGCCTGGATTCTGGGCTTCCCAGTTTGGTGCTAGTGGTAAACAACCTTCCTGCCAATGCAGGAGACATGAGACCTGGGTTCCATCCCTGGGTGGGGGAGATCCCCTGGAGGAGGTCATGGCTACCCACTCCAGTATTCTTGCCTGGAGGATCCCATGGACACAGGAGCCTGGTGGACACTACTAAAGTGACTTTGCGTGCACGCAGGCTGAATTCTGCCTGTGGACACAATTTGCCCAACCACTGATCTAACTTATGCCTGAATGCCTTTAATGGCAGGAAACAGAACATCTCTTGTGATAGCATTTTCTATCTTCAGATAATTAGTTGTTCTTTATAATTGAGATGAAATCTGCCTCCCTGTGATAGCTTTTCTAATTTACCCATATGGGCCCATACATAGCAAGTCTAATTCCCTCATCTCCATTATGGCCTTCCAGTTTTCTAAACTCTTTTCTCCAATTCACACATTATCTGCTCAAGTGTTTGCTTCTTGTCAGAATCCTTGCCATGTTAGTCACTTTGCTCTGAAAGCAATCAGGTTTGTCTGTCCCTTGAAAACATTAATTTCCAAAATTTAATGCTGAAAACATATTTCTTACTAACATTGCAAAGTTCATTCATATTTAATTTGTCCCTTAAAGATGAAATTTGAGGAAACGTCTTAAATATATTTAAACATTTTCTGATTTTATACTTGTGAATATTAAGGGATATTAAAACTTAATGATGTTACAATGTTTTTGAAAAGTGTTAAAAGTTATCATCAAATGAGCTTTATTTAATGCATAAGAATAAAAGTTTTTGACAGGATAATGTAGACGTTAATATACTGAAAACTTTATTTTGCATAAAAATTCACAAAGCTGAATTTATAAATTATTTAAATGTTTAGGGTTTTATTTTAAGCTTTTGAATTTGTGTGCGTGTTTAAGTTCAATAGCTCTTTTATTAAGTAAAATAAAGCAAGTGTTAATGTGTACCATGTCTTAGAGATGATCCTATTTATTATGTCGGCATCATAGACAAAGTAATATACTCTAGTTATTGTGTGAGGTAAAATGTATTTGATAGGTTTTTTATCATTTAAATTTTTTCAGTAGTGAAATGCAAATTAGATGATTTTAAAATTGTCTCATTGTTAAGGAAAATCATGGACAGAATACTTTTAAGTTTATTTTTATATTAAGTAGACTTACTGTTAAATTTTGAAAGAGTTTTAGACAGTTCAGCATTTATGGACATCCTTCAATCAGGCCACTATTACTGCTATTGCTGTCTCTGTATTACTCAAGTAGTATAGATGAAGTGTCAGCCTTTCTTTTAGCCAAGGTTTAAAGGAGGCCAGTGTCAGATTTTTACTTTTATATTGGGAATAGTTCTGGTGGTAAACATAATTCAGTCAGTACTGGTTAGATCATTTATAGTCATAGCCTGTCTCTGATCTTAGCTTTCTGCGCCATCTAAACATCTAAACCTAGTACCTCTAAATCTCAGTCCTTTTAGGTTTTTATTTTGTATTGGAGTATAGCCAATTAACAATGTTGTGATAGTTTCAGGTGAGCAGCGAAGGTATTCAGACATATATAAACACACACATATCCATATGTCCTTTATCATAATAGAATTAAAAGGTGTTGTTAGAGTCTATAGTGTACAGTAATATATAATAGTGAGTAATTAAAAAATTGAAAGAAATCATCTAAGAAATAAAGACTTTTCTGGTATGTAAAATGGAAAAGCAAGTCTATGTGAATCTGAAAAGTCTGAATTTTTAAAGAAGTTCAGCCTGGTAAATTAAATGGAGATATAGCAAAGACCCTATACCATTTAGATTTTTAATGGTGGTTCTAATTTTCACTGTCCTAGAAGAATTACATAATGTTTTTGATTTACTATCTTGACCAAATGGAAGGTGTTTTCAGAGGTTGCCACTTGGTGTTTCCTACTGTGATCGATCTTACCTCACAGGCCAGAGACACAATGTAGGGCTTAACTCTAACCACTTTGTACATAAATTCTAATTATACACTTGAAAAGTAAGGAAATTATCACTTGTTGTTGTTCAGTCCCTAAGTTGTGTCTGACTCTTTGTGACCCCATGAACTGCAGCCAGGCTTCTCTGTCCATCACTATCTCCCTGAGTTTGCTCAAACTCTTATCCATTGGGTCAGTGATGCCATCCAGCCATCTCATCCTATGCTGCCCCCTCCTCTTGCCCTCAATTTTTCCCAGCATCAGGGTCTTTTCCAATGAGTCAGTCAGTTCTCCACGTCAGATGGCCAAAGTGTTGGATCTTCAACATCAGCATCAGTTCTTCCAGTGAATATTCAGGGTTGATTTCCTTTAGGACTGACTGGTTTGATCTCTTTGCAGTCCAAGGGACTCTGAAGAGTCTTTTCCAGCACCACAGTTCAAAAGCATCAATTCTTCAGCATGCAGCCTTCTTTATGGTCCAACTCTCACATCCGTACATGACTACTGGAAAAGCCATAGCTTTGACTATATGGACATGTGTCAGCAAAGTGATATCTCTGCTTTTTAATACACTGTTTAGGTTTGTCATAGCTATTCTTCCAAGGAGCAAGCATCTTTTAATTTCCTGGCTGCAGTTACCATCCACATTGATTTTGGAGCCCAAGAAAATGAAATCTGACACTGTTTCTACATCTTCCCCATCTGTTTGCCATGATGTGATAAGACCGGATGCCATTATCACAGGGTGGATGTATAGACACAGTTTGCCCAGTATGAGCCAGGATTTAGCCAGAATTTGTTATTTGGACCCTGGAGACACCCCAGCTCTTAACAAGGGGCTGTGGTGGTGTTCTTGTCATTGGCTATCTGTGTCATCGCTCACGCTGTGTCTTATAGTGATGAAAATATCTATTAATTTGTCTTGCACTGAGTATATACCCACAAATATACTTGTGTATATACCCAAGTAAACACGAATCTCTTTATACAGTAGTCATACACATGTTCCTTTGGGAATCATTTTATACACTTTCTAAGATGTTTCAAGACAACCTTTCTTCTGTTAACTCAGCTACCTGTTCAGTCAGTAGATTCTGGATTTGTAGATGAACTCATCTTGGAGCTGAGCAGAGGATCACAATCATCTCTTGGGTCGACAACCCTCCGCCTTTACTCCTCCATTCCTACTTTAAGTAAGTTAAGTAGCACCATTGCTAGCTGCCCACCTATTTTGCCTCTTGTATAGATACCATCTTTTATAGTCATCCCACAGCTTTTTGTTGGGCAGCACCCTTGTCTGCTTCTCTAGGCTTGTTGGTCGTTATCCTAATTGTGACCGCTGGATTCTGACAGTTAAACACTGACCCTTGGTCTTTTTTACTTTGGGACTCCATCACTTAACACCTCGCTCTGTCACTGCCTCTCCTGTTGTCAGCTTTGATCTTCAGAAGAAAGCCACCACTGAACTTCTTAATGTGCTTTCATCAGCAGATTCCTCATGGCCTCGGTGAATGATGCGTCCCATGGAAAGTAATCTTCTGGTAGTTCTTCTGACCTTTCATAATGCGGTCTTTCTGGTACATTTCTTCCTGTCAGCTTCTTTA